AACGAAATTAAAATGCTCCTATTAGGTAAGTCTTGAATCGTGGTGTTGTACACTAGTTGGAATCAAAGTATTCTTGTATACTTTCTTAGTGCTAATACTGTCAATACTGAACAACCTTATTAATTAACAACCATTAAATAATAGGTGCTGGAGAGTCAGGAAAATCAACTATTCTTAAACAAATGAAACTTATTCATGATGGTGGTTATTCTCCTGAAGAAAGAGAGTCATTTAAAGAAATAATCTTTTCCAATACCGTCCAATCTATGCGAGTCATATTGGAAGCTATGGAATTGATGAACATTCAATTTCGCAGTGAGGAAGCCAAGAAACAATCAATGATAATTCTTAATATGCCAAATCAAATAGAAGGTGATCATTTACCTCCTAATGTTTCGAGTGCTATTAAAATTCTATGGGCCGATGGTGGTGTACAGGAATGTTTCAGTCGATCCAGGGAATATCAGTTAAATGACTCTGCTAAATAGTAGGTTTTATTTTATCTATAGAGTTTGTTGTTGTAAGTGAGAATGGAATTTCTTAATAAGAATATATTTAGGGTAATTAAAATTGAGCTTTAGAGTAGAATTAGAATTGAGTTTAGAGTAGAATTAGAATACCCATAACTTTAAATTGAAAAGGTTCAAATTCACTCTCACTTACAACATATTTACAACATATTTGCAATAATGTAATTAATAATGCATTTCATTTTTATCTAGTTACTTTGATTCAATTGATCGAATTTCTCAGACTGACTATTTCCCAACTAATCAAGATGTGCTACGATCGCGTGTAAAGACCACTGGTATTACTGAAACTACATTTTTCATTGGCGAATTAACTTACCGAATGTTTGATGTTGGTGGTCAGCGTTCGGAACGTAAGAAATGGATTCATTGTTTTGAGAACGTAACTGCCATAGTGTTCTTGGTTGCCATCTCTGAATATGATCAATTGTTACTCGAAGATGAGACTGTGGTATGTATTATAACTTGATTATAACTTATTATAACTTGATTATAACTATGTATTATAACTTCTTATAACTTGATTATAACTATGTATTATAACTTGATTATAACTTATTTTTACTCGAAATGTATCATCATTGAAATGTATTAATTATTGATAAATTTTAATTATAGAATCGTATGCAAGAAGCCTTAACACTTTTTGATTCAATCTGTAATTCACGATGGTTCGTGAAAACTTCAATAATCCTATTTTTGAACAAAATCGATCGGTTCCAGGAAAAATTACCAATTTCTCCAATGGGCAATTACTTCCCTGATTATGATGGCGGTGATGATTATGACGCTGCTTGTGATTATATACTTAATAGATTTGTGTCGCTGAACCAAAGTGATGCTAAACAAATTTATACACATTTTACTTGTGCCACTGATACTCAACAAATAAAGTTTGTCATGGCTGCTGTTAACGACATTATTATTCAAACTAATTTGAGAGAAGTTGGATTATTATAATTACCATTTTCAAAAAAAAAAAAAAAGGAAAAAAAAATTAAGGTTGTCATTAAAGTACCATTATTATTTTATTCTACGTCAATTCATTAACTTACGATATTACAAAACTTTGTATTAATATTTTCTCTCTCTCTTTTTTTTTTTTTAAACAAGAAAATTATTTATTCCCTTTTAATTCTTTCTT